CAGCCCCAAGAAAAGTATCCGATGGCCTCAGTTTAACATAAGTCAATGTCCTCATTCGGGGGCCTCTTCTCCATTCTAGTCAATTGGGAGAGAAGGAGTTTCCCTCCCTCCTCTCCTTCCACCTTTCCATCCTTCCTCTTTAAATTCACCCTTATCGGCTGGACTGCTCATACTGCAACCATAAATGATTTCTGGAACCGGAGGCTTCTTTTTCATACAGGCATTTGTTTCGGAGCTAGCTTGCTGAGTGGAACATGTACTTTCATGATTGTGAGAGGAGAATGAAGGCGACGGGCCCCAGTGAGAGACTGAGAGCCGGGAAGACAGGATCAGGGCTCTGGAAGCTGGGTCGAAGTGACGTGTTTGACGCACACGGCGGCTCCTCACCTCCCTGTCTCCCCTGATAACGAATGCCCAGCGAGGTGCTGGTCCACGGAGGGCTTTGAGATCCTCTGATAAGAGGGCGGGAGCCAGGGCCTGGCGCGGTCCCACGGAGGGTGATTCAGCACCTGCCCCGTCATGCCTGGTGGCCAGGCTGAATGGCTTTTTGGAGGACACCTGTGGTTGGACCCCTGCCAAGTACTGATGGCCACTAACCCCCAAATCACTTTCCCTCCCTGTCGACGCTGGGAGTGTCAGACAGGACCGAGCAGCAGCCGGCGTGTATTTCCAACGCAGCAGATGGATTTTTATATTAGTTCCTATTTCACGTTCAGGCAGAGCGACCGCCACCCTCAAAACCACAGCCTCACTGCTGCCGAGTTTGCTTCTGTGAGATTAATTCTGTGAAATTAATTGGGACAAGATTGAAAAGGAAATTAAAATGCAGCTGAGTGAACAGGCCTTTCAAACACCTTCTTTGCCTGCTGTATTCAGACTTGACTTCTGCGGTGGTGGCAGGCATCCTGTGAAGTAATTGATGAGCGGCAGGAGCCATTGGTTACCTATGAGGAGACCTGCGCCCGCGCCCCAATCTGGAGCCGGAACACCCTGCTGTGGCCTGAGAGGTGTCCTCGTCCATCCGTGCACCAGGCAGGAAGGGACGCTGAGTCCCTGCACCAGCAAACGCTGTTCAGAAATAGCTGGGCCCAAAAGGCAGGCGGGAACGTCCGCTGGATGCACCGGTCTGCTGCGTTATTAAAATCTCCCTTCAATATATTTTAAGACCCAACTTGGACTTCAGTGAATTAAGTGGGCGAGAAGCTGCATGGGGCCCCAGCTGAAGGGCTGTGTTGGGGGAGGTCAGGGGGGGTCCTGCTGACGGTGCCACACTCCGTTGGAAACATGACCTTGGTCTGTCCCTGCACAGGAGTTTGAACAATTCAGCGGCCATCAGTGGCGACATCTCTCAGGCCCAGGAAGGCATGGCGGGTTTCCAGCAGGCCTCGGGTCTAGTTGTATTTCTGCATCCCGGTGAGAGCCTTCTGTGCTTTTGAGCAACTCTGTGAAGAGTCCTTGGCAACAGAGGCCACTTTCCCCCCACTCACAATCTGCCAATCACTTATGGAACTCCTAGTATGTGACAGAGGAGTCTGGCGGGTTATGTGTTGGGTTGCTAACCAATGCAAGGTTGCTGGTTCAAACCCATCAGCTGCTCTGAAGGAGAAAGATGAGGCTGTCTGCTCCTATAAAGATCTACAGCCTCAGAAACCCGATCTAGGGTCGCTGTGGGTCAGAAATGACCCCAA